TATAAATATGATGTAATTGTGATGTCGGATTTGTTTGCTCAAATTTTTCGTAAAAGAATTGTAAAAAAAGATAAAATTGTGAAAATTTGATAATAAAATGAAAAAAAAAAAATAATTTTGAGCTGCTCTTTTTATTTGCGTTTACTGTTTACATATATAAATTACGCGAACATTTTACTACCGTAATGTCCATGTCTAACGTTTTACTAACTAAAATATAAATGCCGAACTGAATTTGCAAGGAAAAAGTCAAAAAACCGGATAATTACAACATGCTAAAAATTAACACGCCTGTTAAACTCATCTAAATTTCCCTCGAATTAAATATTTTATTTTCAAATTTTTGGAAAATTAAGTTGTCCTGAATTTTCATTAATTTCTTCTCATTTTGAACTTTCGTTTAAAATAAAACTCCAATTAAATCCGTACAATAACAATTTTACTCTGAAAATTTCCCAAAAATTTATAACAAAATCTTTATTTAAATCTAAAAATTTTTATGGTACGACAAAACAAACTGAAATGCAAGAAAATTTTTTAAATTTTATTTTTAAAGATTTGGTCTTTAAATTTTTTATGTTCTGAGAAATTTTTTTCATATTATAATTTAGATATTTTTCGTTTTAATACTTTTCAGAAAACTTTTATCTCTTTAGTATTTTATATTAATTTCCCATTACCCTAAAATAATTATATACATATATTATATAAGAAAAACAAATGAACTTTTTTATTTTGATAGACTTCCATTATTTTAATATCAATTAGTAAAATGAAAAAATATAAATACGTTTTGTTGTAAAAAAATGTTTTCTCTCCTTACTAAGTTTTACAAGAATATACATACATACTCGTATATACATAAACACATAATACTGTGAATACATTAAATATATGTATGTATATGTATGTAAACGTGTTGACGTCCAGGAAAAATTTATAGACTTTGTATTTTTCTCAAATTAATTAAGCTCTGAAGCTTAATTCATCTTTTACATTTATATTGTGTGTAATTCTAATTTATTTACGTGCACATATACATACATATATGCATATATATATATATATATTTCGGACAAATGTTAGAGTTTATTGTCTTAAGCATATATTCCAAATTTTATTCTATACTGTGTAAACAAAAATACAAACACACTAATATTTTGTATTGTATTTTATTTTATAAAAACAAGAATAATGTTTTATGATAATTTTGATCTACTTATTCATTTTTGTTTTTAAATGAAAATATGAAAAACATTTTTTTTTTGTAGAATAATTATTTTGAGTTTTCGTTCGTAATAGTACATAATTATGTATTACGCAAGTACAATAGAGTTTCGCACTTTGATTTGTTTTAGTTTTAATTTCCATTTGTCTTATGCGATCATACAAAAATATTGAGAAAAATTAAAGAGAAACACAAAAGGATTTGCGATATGCGACCACACGAGTAGAATACTCTTTCTACTGTCTTGTGCTACTGAATAGTACGAATTAGTTATCAAATTACTCTCTTTGTGAGATAAATTTTTAATTTTTAGGAGAATTTCTTCTCCATTGAGGAAAAAAATATGATTTGATTTTAGGAAATTATATGAGGAAATTCTATGATTTGACATTAAAAAAATATTTCGAAAAACGTTGAGGAATATGTGACAATTCTAACTGATAGTTACCTGTCTAATTGAAATTGGATCTCGTTTGAAATTTCAATTTTAATTGAAATAGTCGAAATAAGAGCTAAATGTTAAATGAAAATTTTACATAATTCGATTTTTAATGATAATTACTAATGTGATTTTTTAAAACTTTTAAATTAGTGAATAAATTAAGTAGCTATATGCCACTAAATTATTAGTAAAATGATTTATTTTAATATTTATGAAATTTTCATTTGAATTCCATAGAGAAAATTAAATTATATGAAATATTTATGCAAAAATTAATTAATTAATTTTCATATTATTTAATTATAACTAATTAATACGCATTATATGTAAATTCCATCGAGCAAATATTGTTTTTTTTTATAGAAAATTCCATTGTGTCAATTTTAAAAATTTAGATCTAATATTAAAGAAAGTAAATTTGAATACGATTTAAAATTAAAATTACAGATTATACCAATTTGTACATAAATTGTGTCAAAATGTGTTTTTCTTAATTATATGTTCTAACTGCTAATACAATAATTAAATATTTAATCATCTTTTCTACTGTACACTTAATTTAGTTTTCACAAAAATTTTGGTTTCATATATAGAATTTGGTAAAAAAATTAAATTTATCTCTTAGTATACCACAAGTATATACCATTATGGTTCCTTTATTCTAGACATTCAAAAGTTTTTTAAGGAACACCTATAATTTCCAATTTTGTATACTATTCCTATTCTCACTCTTTAATTTACTCTAGATACATAATTATAATATACACACTTTATATTATTATAATGGCTTACATGTTATTATAATTATTATTATAAGATATTATGCATGGCATTATATACGAAACAAAGTAATTTATTTAGTAGCAATTTGTATTCTAGACTGAATATTGTAAATATGTAATATGATAAACATTATATATGGATTAATAAAATATGTATATTATGTTAAAATCTCATTTTATTTCACTATTTATTTATATTGAAATAAATTTTCAGTAAAAACGGAACGAATTTCTGTATAATGTTTAATTTGTGATACACATATATACATACTTAAAGTTTTTTTTTTGCTAGAATACACTTTAAAACAAAAGGTTCTAAATTATAGTTGATGCATATTATGTCGAATTCATTTTCCTGTTAATTTTCTCCTTAAACTAGATGAAATTTGGATGTAATTTTCAGAATTAAGAAAGAGAATAATTTCAATTTTGATAAGTACACTAAAAGCTCTTTGGTTTTAAAGTTCGACTTTGCGAATTTTTAAGAGTTTTTCCGTCACTTGATACAATATGCATCCAATAAAAGTTTTAGCCATCTACCCTAAAAAAAAAGGGATGTCTGAATGTAGATGGTTTTTGAATTCGTTAGTTTTATAAAATAGTCATGTTAATAAAAATAAGAATTAAGCATTTCGATTAGATGGTCCTTTCTTGTTTGATAACTTTTCCATTTATCATCAAATGTGGTTCATAATTCTGATATCAATTATTTGTATCATTTAGACAATAAATATTATTTTTGAATCTCAATCATTGGCTTGAAAAACAAAATCAAACATTGTTTGTCAATTACTATGATCCACTAGTTAGATTGCCTTTTAAAATTTTGCGAAACCAAGTAAAAAATCAAGCAATAACTACAATGAAAAATAACAAAGAAAAACTTCGAAAAGATTAGGGACATCAGGTAATAGGGACATTGTAAACAAAATTCTTTTCCTTTCATTTTTTCTATTTTGCAAGTTCATGAAAATTTTCAATAAAATTTGAAAGAAAGTATCTGAATATTTGGTTTACAAATGCTATACAATTAGTGTACAGATATTATAAAATTAAAATTTCATTTGTTAATTTAACAATAACCTTTTCAAGTCTAAATTAAAATGTATTAAACGATATGAAAGAAGATGGGAGAACAATTTTCTTATCTATCATTCATACGTTTTAAGTTGTCATTTTCAATAATTGAAAAATTATTAATACCATATTTTTTCAAAAGATACCTAATTTGTAATCGGTCCCAATTGAAAATTGATTTTAAAATCGAACGGACTAAAAGGTTCTTCTACCGGTGACAAAATGGGCCACAATACTTGATATTCAAATTTTTCTTAATATTTTTATAAATATTATGTAAAAATATCAAAATTTTTAATTGTTGAAAGCTCTGCTCTCTGCTATGGTTCGTCCGATTTACCAAAACTATTATCTAATTTATGAAGGCTATAATATCACTACAAATGTGATCTCGAATATGAAAATTTTTGAGAATTTTTTTTAAGCCTTTTAGATTTTTCGCACATTCCGAAATATAAAATATTTCAAAAATATCTACATAAATTAATAGCCACTTCATCCCTTAAAACTATCTCAGAGTAGTACTGGACTAATTTTAATATATCGCTATTGTTTTTCCTTCTTTTACTTTAGGGTGTTTTCCAGGGTAAATGTTGCCTTTTCATTGTATATAATTTTTCTTTCTTTACACATATTTTCATTTTAAGGGGGGTGACTTTTTTCTCGGGGTTTTTTTTTTGTTCTTTTTGTAAAATTTGATGCTAAAATTAGAATTAGAGTTTTAATACTTTTTATAATTTACGGTTAAAAAAATTTGTTTACGTTTTTTATTAAATTTTTTGTATAGAAAAATTTGTATGGATAAAAATTAATTTTGTCCCGGAGAGATTGAAATTGTAATGTTTAAAGCGGAACTAATCTTTAAAAATATAATCACAGTATGGGATAAATAAGAGAAAATTCATCTTAAATTTTTTTTCCTTAAATTTTTGTGCTAAAATTGCAAATTTTTTGAATTTTTTTAATACAATCAAAATTTTTATCATTTACAGAAATCAGAGATTTTACAAATTTGGTTGATTTTTTATAGATTCAAATTATTTGAGTGGGTATCTGAGTCACGTTTTTGGTTAATTTTTTCGGAGAAAAATGAAAAATACTTTGTTTAGCTTTTCCTATTAAATTTAGGTTTACAAATTTGCGTTTTTACAATAGACGCGTTCAAAGTATCAATGATTTATTTGACTTAAAATTAAAAAAAAGTGTAAGATAAGCGAGCACATATATTTTATCTAAATTTTACCACAATATTATTTTTGTGAAATTAATATTATTCTTTATATACAATATATAAACTGTGATCTAGTATTAGTAACAAATATATTAGCATAAATTATGAACCAAATATTATAATTTTGATAAATTTTATTTTAATATTAATTAATAATAACTAAGTATACCAAAATATTATTTAAAATACCATAATTTAGTTACTAAACAATTAAAACAAATAATTAAAAAAAACACTTACCTTCTTCAGCAGCTTTCTTTTCCTGACGTCTCTGTAGGACAACTTTTTTAAATATTACAGCTGCAGCTTCAACAGCACTCTGAATTTCAGCTTCACCTAACGTTGTTTTATGCTGAAAATGAAAATTATAATATTTTTAATATTTTTTACGATATTTTTTATTATTTTTGTTGTGATCTTTAAAATCATGCATTTTTTTAACTTATAAAATAAAAAATCTCATACAATTATAATAAGACGTGACAACAATATTATCACGTTTTACAAAATTTAATTTTTTGTGCAGCTCTGCATTATAATATGTTCACACTTAATTAGTTTTTTTTAATAACAATATTAAAAAATATGTAGTCAAAATTTTTTTAGAATTCATTTAATTCAGTAAATTGAGAATGAAAATTTTCTAAATATACATATATACATGTGTATATATTTATATATGTATACAAAAAATATAAAAACATTACAAGGATATGCTGCTATAGTAAAAATTAGTTTTTATTTTCAAATAAAGAAAATTTCCTAGATTTAATAATTACAATACTTTTTGCAAAGGATGGATATAAGGACAAGGATTTTACAATTTTTCTTTGTTTAATCAAAATTTTTTAATTTGTTTCATAATATTTATTTTTCACATAAGAATGCAACAACTTGTTGTATTATTCCTGTGCATTAGTCGTACTTTCAGGGTTTGTCTTAGAAATTCAAGTCATTTGAATATTTAAATAGATACTATATAGGTATTGGTTTGCTATTTGAATTTGTTTTTTGCAATATTTATAGTTTTATATGTATATTTTATAATATTTTTAGACGTAACATTGTTGCGACGACCTACAAACTACAAGAAATTAAAGAACATTTTTAATTAAACAACACGTTAATTACGTAAAGACTAAATTAATATTAATTAATTTTAATTCCAAATTATTTTTTCAAAAGTTCACTTTCAATTTAAATTCCTAAATCTTATTTAAAACATTTCTTGAAAACTTTATTAGATTAAAAGATTTTATAATTTAAAGAAAGTTGTAGGAGATTCATTGAAATTTAATCTGTAATCTTAATGTTTTAATAATTCAAGTAACTGTTAAGCTTGGCAAAGAGTTCTTTTTTGAAATTTATTTACAAACCATACTACACATGAAAACTTTAAATAAACCAATATTGCTATACTATTTATGTATTTTGTTTATGAATACATATGACATAAAACAAATACCTATAACTGCAATAAATCCTTTGTATAAGGATAATGTCTTCATTGCATTAAATTCAATGTGTTGAAACATGTGTAGAATAAAATGTACAATAAATTTTTAAAATTTTACTCTATGAATCTTTTTCTATCTTACGACACTATACTTAAAATTTATAACAGTATTTGGTTTTTTAAATCTTACTTTAAACAAAAAATTAAAACGAAAATCAAAAAACGAAATAACCACAAACCTCTTGTACACCATCTGTAGAGCTTTTATTGTCATTTTCACATTTTACTTTTCCTTCATCATCATCGTTTCCTTTACCATTACTATCTTTGGTATCATCATCACCATTTAGTTTTCTGCCAAAATCAGCATTTTCTAATTTTATTGCTGTTCCAACTGTGTCACTACTATCATTATTTTTTTCTTCTAATTTATTCGCATGATGATACTGTGATATAGGATTATCGTTATTGCTTAAAGGCATATTCTTATCTGGTGACTTATTTCCAGAATTTTTATCTTGGCCGCCAGAGGATAAATCCATTGAATCCTTTCGCTGAGATTGTTGTTGAGGTGATTGTACTAAAATATATGAAATAAAAAAAGGAAATGAAAACAAAATAAAAAATAGAAAAAAAAAAGAAAAATGTCAACAATAAAAAAGACGCATTTTTTGTTTTTAACAATTTTAAGGATATTTTAAAAGCGGAAACAGATTCAATGTTTTTGTATTCCTTTTTGTGTCCAAAAATAAGGAACAAAATGTTTATAATCCTAGAATTGTTTTTGTGGATTTCTATTTTTTTTTTTTAAATTGTTTGTGTTGGCCATAGCAATTAATGAATTCAATTTTGTTTTCGAAACGTTTTAACAAAATGGACGGGGGGAGAAAATAATTCAGAATTCAAAGTTCTTAAATATTTGATTTACTTATATAAAGTCGTTACTTAATTTGTTGAAGATTAAAAGTAATTTTTGGTAGACCTTTTATTTGTATAGTCGGAAAAAGAAAAGTTTCAGTATTATTGTCTTCTTAGCAAACAATTTATTCATAAATGCTATTCTCCTATTTAATTTTTGAATGAAATATTACATGAATCTTATTCAATGTATACGAGATACCAGGTTCTACAATATTGAGAAATTATTAATTATAATGATTAATATCAATTAATTAATATTGATTAAATAAAATTAAGACCGTTTTGTTCACAAAATTTTAATGTTAAATTAGTCTTAATCAATTGATTGAATTGCCTGTTAATTTATCTTCTACATACGTACAATTATTTAGAATAATAATTATTGAATTTTATTATTAATATAATTTTAATTTTTCTATAATTCCATTAAAAATTTTTTTTTTAAATCTCAAAAATCTAATTTTAGTCTAATCTTAATTTTATATTCAAATCTTTTAGAACAAAAAATTTTTACGAAGGCGTTTTCTTTTTATTCTTCTACGAATCTTCTATATTTTCTACAGCCTCCTCTCTAATGTACAAATATGTTTTTTTTTTGTTCTATTCATGTTATTTTGTTAAACGGTCTATGAGAAATTCGTAATAATTTTAAGTGATGATATGCTATTTAAAAACCAGTGTAGGATGTTTTTCATAAAAAAAAAAAACAAGACAAAAAAAAAAAAATAAAAAACGCCTGACGTGAATTTTTTATTGAGTTGAAAGTACAACAACTGGAAGAGGGAGAGGTGTGGACGAATATTTTACACATTTTTACGCTAAAAATATTAAAAAGGATAACAAGATTTTCTTAAACGCCTTAAAAATTTATTTTTGTTTTTTATTTGTTTTTATTTCTTGTTCAATATTATTATATTATTTAACTTTAGGCTCAGGTGTCTCAAATCGTTTTGAATAATTTGAGTATTTATGACGTGTATTGTCTTTATAAAAAATTTAATCGATGTATTGTGAGTTTAAAAAAAAATTTTATATAGCTACTTTACGAGTATATAAATTAGGAATATATTAAAATACTAAGAAAATATTTTAAGGATGTGCTCAAAAAAAAAAAAAAAAAACTTAGAGTATATTAGAAATTTTAATATTTAACCACAAAATTTGAGGGAAAATGTAGATGGTGAGAATGTATTTAAATTTGTTAAATATAGACGTATGTACTTAACGATTTCGTTAAATAAGAATAGAAATTATAGAATTTTTAAGAATTTTAAAATTACGTGTATGATCGAAAATAATTAATAATTCTGTTTTTCTAGTGCATTAAAATTAAAAACAAATTCATTCGAATTACCTTCTTTACCATACTAGAATGCCTACATATTTCTGTACTTTAGAAATTTTTTGGACAAAGATGAATTTGCTAGAATTTGCATAGAAACTTGTGCTATAGAGAATATTCAAAACTAATAGTAAATTATTTTAAGTACATTCTCAAAAATTAATTTTTGTTAAACAAAGTAATTGCAAATTCTATTGTATTTAATTCAATAAGATTACTCATTGATTATATTAGTACTATGTATGTGTCTATATACCAAACAATTTTTTGAAAATTTTAAATTTTATTTGCAAAAGTTCATATTTATTATAAAATTTCTATTTCGCTTCTCATTTCGATCTTCTCCTAAATATAGGCAATAAAAATTGTAAATATAATATTGAAGTTTTACCTTCGCCACCCAAATGTTGCGTATTGAATTCGCCGTATTCGTTTACTTTACTATTACGTCGCTTTGGTATAACTGGCAATTTACTTGGTTTTTTTCCTTTTTCACAAATATCAATGAGCGGTTTTGGACTCGGTATTTTTATTTGTTCATTTCTTTTATCACTCTAAAAACATTTAAAAACAGAAAAAAATGTTTAAATTCAAAAAGAATTCTAACATTAAAATTTAAAAAAAAAAAATTATTTATTGGTATTTTGTTCATTTACCTGTTCTTTTTCAGGATGAGATAATGACCTTCTTGTAACTGGTTTAACTATAGGTTTAGCACCCGAGTCCTCTGAAATTGAACGCATTGTTTCAGGTTTCCGCCGGCTAACGGTAACATTAATTTCTTCCTCTGTGTTTATTGTAGTAACACCAGTCATTTCCGTACTTTCTAAAGCTTCTCTTGAACGTCGCCTACGTTGTCTATTATACTGTATTATTTGTTCGCGACGAATTGCTTTGTAATTGCTATCTTCTACAGTTTGATAATCTGATTCTTGACCGTTTGCAAAATTCTCAGCACTGCGAATAGGTGGAGCGCACATTGCATCCATTTCTTGTGAACTATCGTTATATATCATTTTTGGCTCACTATTATAACCGGTACTACAATTATTTTCATAATGAGTTTCATCAACTTCTAAGAAACTATTATCACTATAATAATCGGAATATTCCTGTTGAGATCTATCATCACCGTATTCTGGTAAATTCTGCTTGGCTTCAGCAAATGTTCTACGACCTACAGAATTTCTTTCTAGAATTTGTTGTTGTGCATCTTCTTTTACGTGATCCTGTCTGACCAAGCGATTTAAAGATCTTGAAAAAAAAAGTTAATTTTTAAAACTTAATTGATGTTGTTCATAATAAGAAATATTTTGAGCAAAAGCTCATATATACGGCTTAATACTTAAACAAATCTTACCTTGGAGATTTTGGTATTTCTGGTAGTAATCTTCTACCTTCTGTTGCATATGGTCTTGTTATTGTGTATTCTTCATTACTGTGACTACGAACCTTAATCATTTTTGCATTTGGATTATGAATGTTTACGCTTTGACTACTGTTATATTGATCTGCTTCAGCGACTGTTGGTACATTTTGTTGTGACAGAAATGTTCTTGAATGTGGGGCAGGTGTGGGAAAGAGAAAATTTTGTTTCTGTCTAGGAGAAATGGGTAAAAATTTTCCATTCGGTGTTTGAACGGTTAATGAATTAAATTGATCCGGGTTAGGTAAAGTATTTTGTCGTGTAAATTCAGGTGAGCGTTTTATATAACTCGGAGAGTGTTGTCGTTTTGGTGGCGAAGTAGGTAGTAATTTTACATGCTGTTCTGGATTAGGTAATGTTGCTTGCCTTGTAACACGAGGTTTTTGGGGTGGCATATAATCAACTCCAGCTAATAAATTTTCATCAGATTGTTGGATTTGTGGCACATAATTTGCTGTTAAACGATTCGGTGAAGTTGGCAATAATTTTGGCCTATGTACATATGGTGGAGGCGCCGGTGCATCAATACTTAAATTAGATGGTAATGTCGATTGTCTAAATAATGGTGGATAGCCTTCAGAACGTTCTGGTGAACGACTGTACGGTGAACGGTTTGGTGAAGTTGACATATAGAAATATGGTGAAGATTCAGTCGGTAAACAAGGTAGAGTTGATTGTCGTCGCACAGTTAATCTACCAGGATGTTGTGTCGGTGGTGGTGATTCCGGTTGTAATTGCGCTGGTTGTGATTGTATTGTTGGTACAATACCAATACTAATTTGATTTGGTGGTAGTGGTGGTTGTATATCACATTCGGGTACAATATTATTAATAACAACATTCTCAGTACTATACGACATACTATATTGTGGACTAATTTGACATTTCGGTGATGTTGGTGCCGTTAAATTTTTTTGATTCTGATAATAATATTGTGTTCCATCTGGATTTGTTGTTGTTGTTGTTGGTAATGTTGATTGTCGCAATACTCTCCTTTGCGTCGGAGGATGTTGATAACTATTTATTTCATTATAGTCCATACTTTGTGTTGATTGATAACTTTGTTGTGCTAAATATGTTTGATGTGTTGGTACTGCCGCTGGATATCTAGTCAAAATGGGATGACTACCAGTTGTTCGTACTCTAATTGGTTGCTTATGATTATTATAATTATTTTGGACGCCAGTTTGAGAATTATTCAATTGATTTTGTTGTTCATCCTCTGGATCTAAAATTTTATTGATATTACAATATATTTCTATGTACATAAAATGTAGATTTGTAAAAGTATGTATAATTATCAGATAATATATTATAAAATAATGCGTTTGATAGTTAAATGGAAAAATAAAAATTAATATTACGTGAAAGAATTTTATTTAACATACTTGATATAGTCCAAGAACGTCTAATACTTTTTTTCAAAATATCCGATGCAGATATAAATTCTTTAGATGTTGATATTGTCTTTTGATTATTTGTGAATTCATTTATCCACTCACCACTTGCAGCGTGAATTTCCCTGTTAAATAAAATTTTAAATGAATTGATTAATAATTGAAGTTTCATTTAAAAGTAATCATACATAAGGTAACATGTACATTATGTATGTGCATTAAGGGTCAATAAACATTAAGTGCGTATATAATATTTATGCATTATAATAAAAATAGGTAAGAATACACAATGTTCGTACATAACAAAAATAGCACCCAGTGAGCAAGCAAAACAAAAAAAAATTTTTTTTTCAAATGAAATTAAATGCTAAAAATTAAAATTCAAATCAGTTATTTAGTATGTTATTGCATAACATTTTACCTGAATTCCATTTCATTTTATTCGATAAGAACGTGCAATTGAATTACAATGCTCTTTTTTTTTCGTTGAAGTACTAAGTCACAGTCTATTGTTGTACATTATACTTACTGTCAAATTTTGAAAGTTTTTCTTGAAAATGTATTAAATTTTTTTTTAAATATACCTATGTTGGTTAAATTAAATATTAAACACAAAATGTTTTATAAATATTTCATTATTGATTTTAGGCACTCGTATTTCGGAACATCTATATAAAAGTATAATCAAAACCATATTGGAGACTTTGAATAAAGAAAATCGGTACGAAAATGCATCTGTAATATTTTATTTTTCTCAATAACTCTCAAACTAGAACGGAGAGGTGACTGCCAAGTTGATTGATATACAAAATTAATTGTCTGGTGTGTTAAAATCAAAAAAAGCTGCTATTTTATGTTAATAAAAAATTGAGATTTTGTTAAAAACCAAATATTTTCGAATTTTAGAGCCATGTGATTCCGAATATTGATATTTATGAGAAAACATTTTCAAATTATATTAAATAATTTTTCTATTAGACACGAAGTTAGACGTATTTCGGAACATCTTTATAAAAGTATTACCCACTCAGGATAGTCTATAGCTCTGGTAAAAGTAGAGTTTATCAGTGCACTTAGAAAATAAACACCCTATATATGTTTCGCTATGTGGTATTTGCTATTGTGTATTTTAATTTAATTTGTGTACGGGCATTGTGTTATCATCCAATGCGTTAGTCTTTTATGACGCCATTGTTTTATAATAACCACATTTTAAAATAAAAAACCAAAATATTTTACACCAAAATGAATATTTTGTGAATTACTATTATGAAATTTATTATAGAATTTAGTAATTATGTTTAATATGTTCTCTACATATACTCGTATAAGCTTCTGTTTAATTAGTCGGAAAATATTTAAATTTTAATATAAAATGTATAAAATGGAAAGTGAAAAGTGTAAAGAGAAATTGAATTCAATTATGGTTTTTTTTATTTTTAAAATTTTGTGTAATTGAAGGAGGTTTAAAATGACTACATGAAATTTTTAAATGATTGTATATCAATTTATATAGATGCATATTTCATAATGTGTTAACAATTTTTTGATAATAAAATTTTAAATATTAATTAAAATGATACAGGGAATATTAAAATTTTCTATTGTTGTGGGAAATAATAAATATTCGGGGATAAAATAAATTTAATTAAAAAAGAAATTCGATTATAGTCAATTACTATTTTGTGTCAATAAAATATAAGTGTTTAGGCATTTAAAAAAAGTATGCATGTATATTGATTTTTTAATACCAAAAATTTTTGAGTAGGTAAAATTTGTCGCTTAGTAATTAATTTCTAACATAAAACCAGAGAGGTTCATTTCATAAAGTTTAGTTGGACGTTCAATTCATGAATATGCAATAAATTCACTAAGAAATATGAGTATAAGAAAATTTTTTAGACTCGAAATTCTAAATTCATTACAATAAAATAATAATATGCAGGTTGATTCAGCGATAAGTTCAGATAAGGTAAAGTAAGATAAAGAGCTACTATTGGGTAAACGGTCTAAAATAACTAAAATTTTTGTTCGGAAAATAGTATCAGATCGGAATCGTTTCTAAACTATACAGGGATGAAATTTTAACATATCTATATGTTTTTTAGCTTATAACATCCGTAAGAAAAAACATAGAAGCTTCAAACAAACTGTTTTTGAAAGGGCTGTTAGAAAAGTATTGGGGCTATAAGAGCTCATTATTTGGGGTTTTACATGTTTTTCCGGTAATTCGAACTTTAGGAAAATTTTAATTTTCCTCATTTTTTATTTTTTCTGTTATTTTTTTTTTTGTTTCGAAAATCTCTTATAAAATAAATTTTTTTAAAAATTCCAAAATGTTTTTTACAAAATCTTGTCTAGTTGCTTACGCTTTAATTTAAATTGTTGAACGTTAAAAAATCTTTTATAGTACAGATGTAGCAAGAAAAAACCATTTGAATTTTAAGATTTTAAAGATTTCAATTAAAAGTATAAACTTAAGTTACCACTAATATTGCTAGGTTGTTGCTAAATCACCCTATATAAAAAATGTTTACTAGTTTTAAAAAATAGTGTAGAATTACATAAAATTTTTTTAGTGTTATATCCAAGGGGAAAAGTTAAATTCTAAAATTATTAGCAGGAATTTATTTCCTCTTAAATCATTCCAGAAATGTGAAATAACTTTATTATCGGAAGAAATATTTAGGGCCGATATTAATTATTAGTTTATATTTAGAATGTATAGGTATTCAAAAATATCACAGTCTGGTTGGATTTTTATTTCAGAAACTATTTTACAATAACTATTTCACTCTATATTTGTTTTTTCTATTCTAAAATTACCATTAAAATAGAAAATTTTAATATTCATTATGCTTTTTCACATTAATTACTTCTTAATTATTCTAATAATAATAAAAAATTAATGCCCCCATTTAAGGTAAAATTTTATTTATTAAATAATATCTTGGAAAATAAAATTACCTCCATAAATGGAACTATAAAGTGGCGATAAATGTTATGAGTTCTCAACAAAAAAAAAAAATTTTTTTTTGCTCGTGTAATTCTAACCCATTTTTTTTGCGTTATTCAAATAAAAGTAAAGTTATGTAAGATTTAAAGAAACAATTAATTGCTAACAATTTTTGTAATTCATTGTAATTAAAATAAATTGGGGTACGTAAATTCATTTTTTAAAAATTTGTATTATTTGATAAATAAAAATTTTTCAATTTATTTTGTGCTGCTCGACTGGACATGAAATTAAATTGAACTGGCAGGAGCTACACTAAAAGTAATAATTTCATTAGTTTTTTGCTTGGCGTATTTCATAGGAGAAAAGATATATTCGGAGTTTGCGAAATTGATTGATAAGATCAGCCAATTTTAAATGAAAAAAAAATATTGGATGATCTTGTACAATTTTAATTACTCCTTAAAGTGGTTTGCTTGGCATAGTTAAGAAAGTACTCTTAGATCTGTTTGGTAATTTCATGTTCTGTGAATAGGCAAATGGATTTTCTATTACTTTCATTATCTGAATGTATTGATGTTACAGAATTGATTTTGAAAAAAAAAAATTGATTATAAACGTTTTTCATACTAGTTACGACCATTTTGAATATGTGTGAATTTTGAATGAAAATTAATTATTAGTTGCTTTAAGTTATTTGATAATTTTGAATTTTTGCATTGTTTTGGCTTTAAATTTTTTTTTTATATTTTATATTTATGTAAGACATTTCCAAATTTGTTAAACAAAGACAAAATTATGTAAGATATCTGACGTTATGACACATTGCATGTACTGTTTGTTCATGATTTGTAATTTTTCTTGTACAGCTCTTCTTGTAATTAAGAGCTGTTCTTATTTTTAAACCTGACCAAATATTCTCTTTGACATCGAATGTTCTGTTTGACATCGAATATTTTGTTTGACATCGAATATTCTGTTTGACACCGAAAATAAAATTTATAAAAAGCACCGAAAAACTTTTCGAGGCGTTTTCTGCTTTTTCCTGCCTACTTGAAAACTTGAAAATTTCTATACAATTTTGAACTTACTACATCGTCGAAAGCTTTCGAAATACAATATAGAACATGGAACATTGCAGCGAAAGCGTTCTTTGTTACAATATGGAAGCCAGAGTATTTTAATTGAGGAAGCACTACTAAATTAGTCTGGTATACTAAAAAAGCAAACTAAAGGGAAATGTTTTATTATAAAAAAATTTTTTTTTCTAATATAACGTTAAAAATAATATAAAGATTGCAACAAAAAATAGTTACAAAAAATTTGCCGAATAATCACATGCAAAAACAAATTTTAAAAACTAGTTAATAAAATTTTATGCTCAAAATGCAGATTTTTTCCATTTGTAATTAATTTTAAAACGGTCATGAATAATTTCGCAAAAAAAAAAAAATTTTTTTCAATGATGAAGCATTTTTAAAACACAACCAAATTAAAAGCCGAAAAAACAATTTGGAAAAAAGCGCATGCAATTCCAATCGAAGCATTTTTTTTTATTTTTGATTTAGCAATGATCTAGAAAGAAAGGAAAGAAATCACACACACGCATTGCAAGTAAGTACAAAGTTCAATATTTAGTTTTTTTGTTTTGTTATATTTTAATACTAATATTTTGTTTAGTTCTATTATGAAATAACATGTCGTGTTTTTGACAGAAATGTAGAAATCTATACGTGACGGAGGAATACAAATAAATGATCTTATATCTTAATTTCAACTGAACTTAGTTAAAGATATCTTAGTTTACTTTAAAGAAGAGTGATGCGTTAATGAATTTTCGGAGTATTTCAGGCCACAAGAACCGGACATTTACTGATCCAATAATAGAAATAATTAACAGGTTTTAAATTTTATATATATTTCATAGAATAACATTTTTGTCCATATATATTTATAATGAAATCATCGATGAATATTTTTAAAATCTTATGTAATAATAAAAATAAAAAAAAAATATGGTTGTATGTTAGGGTTATAAGTCGAACTTTTATTATTTTACTAGCATCCGAATTTTAATTAAACGATTTCTTGAAATTTTACTTGATTTCTGTTTGCCAACGAAACTAATTGACAAATTTTTGTAAGAAAATTGGATTAAAGAAAGTGCCC